ACACACACACAAACACACCCAAAGCCCGTGTCCTCACTTAGGAATGTACAGAGATAAGCTTCTTTTATTTCAAAACGACAACAACCCGACAAAAAATGTAGATCTAGGTCAGAAAATATATTTGTGAAAGAGATTAGGCGCATAAGGGCGGTGTGGCTTACCCGCACTAAAGCAAGGAGCTTTCAAATTGATAGACCACACCCATGCCTCCCCCCTCCCCTTATAAAAAACGACAACAAAAACAAGCAACTGACAAAACAAACACAACAAAACAAAAAAAACAGGCAAACAAAAACCTACGTTTTTTATGAATAATTACACTTGCTGCTGAATTAGGACGCGGCTGTTTTAGGCTATGGCAGCACGCCTATAAGGACAGCTTGTCCCTTTTGTTCAAAATAAAGGCTACAGCAAATTTTAAAGTTTGACACCCCCCCCCCCTGTTTTAGGAATAAGTGAGGGGGGGATTATATCATCAATATTCTATCTTCTATGGAAACGTTTTTGAAAGCTTTTCTCGGTTGGGATTACATATCTATATTATTCACCTGTGTAGCATACCAAAACGGTTCATTCCGTTTATCGTTCAAGGCAAACGGACCTTATCCCGTAAAATTTGCATTTGATTTCACATCGTCCTTGGGAAGGGGAGAGACTTTAGAAATTGGCGTGGTCTCCCAGTCGTTTAAGAGAGAGAGAGAGAGAGAGAGAGAGAGAGAGAGAGAGAGAGAGAGAGAGAGAGAGAGAGAGAGAGAGAGAGAGAGAGAGAGAGAGAGAGCGTTGTGCGCGCGCGCGCGCGCGTGTGTGTTTGCGTGTGTGTGCGCGTGTGTGGGTGTAGGCACGCGCGCGGCCAGTACGAGCACAAATTGTTATCTTTGACTACATTCCCGATTCACCCAGTCCTTCCACTTAATTATGCACTACAATGAATACGGAGACACAGTCATGATAGAGGGAAAGTGTATAGATTGATAGAGAGAGAGAGAGACAGACAGACAGACAGACAGACAGACAGACAGACAGACAGACAGACAGACAGACATACAAACAGACAGACAGACAGACAGACAGACAGACAGACAAACAGACAGACAGGCAGACAGATAGACATACAAACAGACAGACAGAGAGTATGTCGGTGAGCGTTCGTGGCATGTGTGTTGCTCGAAACAGCAACAAAAAGAACAAGAAGACTAGCAGCAATAAAACATCAGCAATGATACGCATTAATTGTCAAACTGAACTGATACCCCAACACATTAGAGATGGATGGCCTATTTCGCGTGCATCTAGAATAATATCTAATACATGTAACCACTCACATCCACCAATGCCATTCGGACATTCCAGCAAACCCCAGTGGACAGAAACCTGAGCCGATAAAGGGCCTGGTCCATTTGTGTGTAAAATAGCATGAAATTAATAGAGCCTGTGTTTGGACTTCAGTACGTTCTAGGGATGTTTTCCTTCTCATAACAATTCCTGTATAACAGACGATGAGGTTTTATATCATAATAATATTATTTTCGTTCTCTCTCTGTCTCTGTCTCTCTCTGTCTCTCTCTGTCTCTCTCTGTCTCTCTCTCTCTCCCTCTCTCTCTCTCTCTCTCTTTCGCTTGCTCTCTGTATATAATATATTATACCAAAAAAATGTATCGGGAAACGGATACATTGAGTTGTTACAAAAGAGAGTCGCCAGGACTATAGAGTCAAGCAGCCAAATTCGCCACGATATGAGCATGGATCATAATGTGACCTTAACACATGCATCACAATACAATTGACTTACAATTAGAAATAATGAGTACATGTAGATCTACGAGTCTAGCTAAACACTATTAATGTTTATATATATTTTTTAAAAAATAAAATATTATGCATGTGACTGTGATCCTGTTTGTTAGAGAAAGCATACTGTTATATTATTATGATTGTGTGTACATATGAGAGGATGTGTAAGGGAAGTGTGTGTGTGTATGTGTATGTGGGTGTGCACATGGGTGTGCGTATGCGTGTATATGTGTGTATGTGTGTGTGTGTGTGTGTGTGTGTGTGTGTGTGTGTGTGTGATGAAAAACCAAACCAATGTGCCAGGATCTGGACAACAAAGATGTATCTTATTTTATCTTATGATATGCACATACATATATTCACGAAGAAGCGCATTTGAATATCATTTTACTCTGTTATTCAAATCTAGCAAAAATATCAGACTTAGCTACTACTCTGTGTGAACTAGTCTTGACCAACACGTACAGCGTTGGTAGTCTAATGGCTAGGCTACCGGAGATGGCTGGTTCGGAGGTTCGAGACACATATGTATATATATATAT